TGTAATTCACTTTTGAAAATGACTCTATGAAGAGTCGAAACGTCAAGATAAATTTAAATTATTAAATTAAATAAATGACTGCTGCTGTACAAAAATTAATTTTTATTCGTTTGTTGGCTCTAAATCGAAATTATTGATGAAACTGATGACAACAATGAGATTACTGATGATGAAACAACTTCAATACAAAATGATAATGAGACAGAAAATACAAAATCTTCATCTTTCTTAGCGTCTCCATTAACAACAATTGATACACGTTTAAGTTTAAAAAGAAAATGTAAGTCGACTATTCAGGATAGTAATCGAGAGAATCAAAAAACGACATCGTCTTTGTCTAACAAAGAGAGAAAAGTTTAAAAAAGCCACTAACTCTCGATGTAATACTACAATGTACAAACAGATATCTTTCTTTTATTATCCTTTAAAAATTTCGACTTAATGTTGATATCCTTTTAGAAATTTCACTCAGTTTATCTCGATTAGTGTTAATTTCGGTTAATTTTCATCTGTATTTCATTAATCAGCCCAGAAGTTTACTGTTTTACTTTTTTTATATATATTTTCGATTTTTTTCTGTAAGATTAGCGAAATACATACACTTAAGTTCATATCGTTTATTTATTTTCTTCTGAGATCGAATAGATGGTTTACTCATTTTTGATATTTCAGAAAATAAGAATTATTATGAATGAAATTTATGATACATCGCGCCTACCACCAAACATACTAACATATTCAAACGATAACTTTTATGATTTTGTGCAAGAGTTTTTAGGAGATGTTGAATCAGATATTGTAAAAATTCAGTGTTTAAAAAATGCTCGACTATTATTACATACACCAAATGTTTTCTCTTTATTCGATCTCGATTGTGCCGATTTGCTTGAATTAAAGAAACGTGCATGTTTCATATTAAAAAATAATTCATATGTCGTTAGACCTGGTATTATCTACAATATTGAGTATTTAATTAATATATTTAAATATAGAATGAATCAGCAAGTCAATAACAATATTAATCATCTAGATAAGTATACAACATCTACTATACATCAAGCACTAACAGCATTAACAAATAATGTTCCAAAAACTATGTCTAAAGAACCATTTCTACATTTGTTTCTTCAGAATATTTTAAACAATTACGGTAAATCGAAAAATAAATATGAATACAATGAATGTAGTCTACGATTTACATCATCTTTATTTATATTAGCCGGGAAAAATACTTACGAATTTTTAAGGATAAATTTACCTGGTTCACTACCATCGATGAGCACAGCTGAAAAGTACAACAAAAACCATAATACTAGAGTGAAAGAATGCGAATTCCGATTTGATTCATTAACATTACATTTAAATTCAATTAATTCAGGTTATGTATACATATCTGAAGACTGTAGTGGTATAATTAGTAAAGTTTGTTATGATAATGAAACAAATTCTTTTATCGGTTTTTCTTCTCCACTTCATAATGCTGCACCTTATATTAATTATTTCCAAACGGATGATTTTTATCAATTACAACAGTGGTTCAAAGAAGTAGATAAATCAACACTAATAAATATTCATATGGTAGAACCAATAATATCAACAACCAGACTAACATCAATAACAAAATCAAGACCATTTTGCTTTCCGCTTATGGAACCAATAATAAAGTGATATCAATAGATATAACAGGTCGATGGCTTTTCATTTATAATCGGCTAAAATTAAATAATATAAATGTTGTCGGTTTTTCTATGGATTGTGATGTAAAATATTTAAAGTCAGTGCGTTTATCGACTGATTTTTTTGCTAAATTACCTAATATTGATTTATTAAATGATAATAATGATCTATTTTCTATTGATATTCCGTCATCCTGGACTTGGGTCTTTATGAGAAACAGGCAGTTATTTTTTTGTATGCAAGATGGAATACATTTGGATACAAAACTGAGGAACAGAATATTATCAAAACATTCAACAATGCTTATGAGTAATTATTCGGTTGATGTCGAACATATAAGGCATTTAATCAAAAATAATTCTAAATTAGAACATAACGCGGTCAAATCAGACAGATATCCTCGTGATCGACAAAATTTTCATATCATCTAATAGTGTGTTAGACTTACTTGATCAAAATCATAGTGCTCAAGCAACGTATTGTTATTTAAATTTATTAAATTCAATTATACAAGCATATGTTCATAAAACGACTACAGTATCAAAGCGATTATATTATGGCTGGATGTCGGTTTTTTTGTGTCGATTTTGGTGGGCGTGGATACAATTAAATAAATTTGGTAATACCAATTTATTAAAAAAAATTAATAAGCAGAAATATTTCATTACAAAAGTTACATATTTTTCCATTGAACTAAATATTCATTGCTTCACATTTATTGTATTACTTGTCTTAGATCAACAACTTCCAAGACATGCTTTAAATATTTATCTATTTAGTTCACAAAGCTGTGAATCCATATTTAGGAATGCACGAGCTCTTACTGGTACATTTTCATTTATCACAAATTTCAGTGTTAAACAGTTTATAAAAAAAGCTGAAAAAATATCTATTTTAAATAGCATAAAATCTCAAGAAGAATTGAATAACGATAATAATGATTATTCTATTAGATTCCCTATCCATCAAAAAAATAGGAATTTCGATGAATTAAATCCGTCAAAATTTAGTGATGATGATATTAATGAATTAACAATAGGAAAAATCGAAATAATAATCTTTAATGCATATAATGATATAAAACTATTAATTCATAAACTTAAAATGTCAAAATTAATAGAACAAAATAATATTAAAGATACAAAAGAATTGAGTTTATATGTAAATGAATTCAAGAACAACAGATTATTCAAATATTGATACTGAGGAGGAAGAGGAAGAATCTGACTACGAAGAAGATGATAAATATGATAGTGTCAACGATGAAAGTAGTACTGAATCATTGTCAGATGAAAACGAAGAAACGGACGATGAAAATGATTACTTGAAGAAAATAACAACAGCCAAAGAAGAGTTTAGAGGTATGAGAATTTATGATAAGATCAAAGAATCAAATAAGAAATCGTATTTTTGTGTCGACATTGATGGTAAACGTAAATATCTCCACAAACAAACTGCCTGTTGGCTTCTAACAAATAATACAAATCAGCTACCATCTGATAGGCTATTAAGAGTGCAATTAACAGGTAAACAAAAATAGATTTAAAATGTATGCTTAAGCGTAATAAAATAAACGTATGGTCTTCCAGGTTACATATTTGTTCGTGTTTTCTCGTCACATTGTTTTTTTCGCATTGTGAATTTTTTTCAAAAGAAAGACTATCTGGTTCAGAGTGTTCAGACTAATTTATTAATAACGAGTATTTCCTTTTCCGATGAAAATTATAAGCTTAAACACATTTTTCTCGCATTCCACACAAAAAGCAGCTAGGGACCAAGTTTGGGTTCAGTGAATGTGAACTTTTAGTAGCGGTATTTCTATTCTCTCATATAAATCTAACATTTTTGTTTAATACCTCTGCACTAATCCGGATAGTGCATTTCCTCTCGTTTATTGCATACGCCCGTGGTAGATTTCGCATAAGAAATGCGAAAAGAACATAATTTAAAATGCATCTTTTGAAAATATAGAATAGTGTGAGTTATTGGGGAGCTATTTTTTAGGGATGCAACGGTAACGGTAACCGCACCTTACCGATTACCGTTACCGGTCCAACCGGTTCTTACCGGTTACCGTTACCGGTAGCAATAAACTTGAAAAACAAATGGAATATTTGCTACATAATTCAAAACACAAAATAAATGAAGTTTTTACATTAATAAAGAAGTTTTACAACTGATCGTTATATGATACAGAATGAAACTCTGAAAAGAGGGGGTAAAGACCATTATTCTGAAACAACTTTATCTTCGTTGTTTTAGTAATATCGACATGATTTTTCTCCAAGATAATGAAAAGATAAAGTTTTTATTTAAGAAAGTTTTCAAGAAAACAGAATTGGAATTAATTGTATTAATAATTTAAAAATAAATTAAGGTTCTCACCAAATATCTTTTTGAAGACAATTCTATTCTTTCAAATGTAGCTATTAAGAAATTTTCTTCCAGCACTGCAACATTACTATTAGCAATTACTGTGATGTTCAATGAGAACGTGCTTAGAGTTGTTGTTCATACGCTTTTCCTTTAAGCTAGTTTTATCCGACGGACTATTGCCTATAGTGAATTCGAGAGAGAAGTGGTTTCTCTTTAGAAAATGAATTTTTGTCGTTTGATTTTACCTAACGTTACTGGTTTAGATTGCTCTCTGGAAAATATGAAATTGTAGATGTACATGAGCCTTATAATGTTATTTATTGTTTTATCCACTATTTCTCTTGTAAATGCAATTTATTAAAATATTTTAATGCAAGTAAAATAAAAGTATATACAAGAAAAATAGTGGATAAAACAATAAATAACGTTGCCGTATTCGATGTAAATTCTTTAAAGAAGTTTATTACACACCTACAGCATGCTCTGGAGATTGCTTATGGGCCATTCCAGTGCTGCGTACGTGACGCTCATACATAATATGGTTCTGACAGTGTTTCATTTGCTGACTTTTTCGTTTCTATAGACAAATACTCAGTGTCTAATTATGCTCATAAAATAGCAATATCATAGCAGCTTTTAAAGGTGTCAGTCTTTCATATTAGTATATATAATACTACTTCTCGTGTGTGCTTTACTTATTTGCTACTGACGAAGAAGTTTGAAAGTGCTTTAGCATTCTACTACTGATCTTCCCTCCTCGTTTATTGTTAATAAAAATTTCAGAAATCAACTGGAGTATACATCAAAAAACACACACACGACGGCAGCACATCAGTCAATATCGCCATCCAACCGCTTATGTAGCATCCAGATCGACAAACTCTGACAATTTAGATGCACATTATAATGTTGATTCCTCAAAGTCGTTCTGAGATATTAATATGGCTGCTAACCATCAACAATATTTTCGAATGTGTCATAGTGATTAATTATTCGCTGAAGAATGTCTATTTCGCCGATATTACTGGATAAAACACGTACACTTTCAATTGACTTAAAATTAGTGTGGGTTGCTTCTATTAATTTAGAATATTTTAAACGTTAAACGATATTTTCCAAGAACACGCATTTTACTTTTGTTCGCACTATTGAACAATTACTA